TTTATTTATTTGGCTGTGGTATTTTATCTTGTTTGTTTGTTTGGCTGTGATTTTGTTAATTTATTTGGTTGTTTTTGTTTATTTTGATGTATTTTATCTATTTATTCAGTATGTAATTTTGTTTAGTGTATTATGAAGCATGATTATGATTTACGTTGTATTGATTTATTATTTCTTACTAGAATTAAAGGTTGGTGGGTGTCACATCACTACGTCTCAACCTTTTTATCAGGTGTTATGTTGACATGGTAAGTGTTTAGGCCACAAATTATATAACGCATTCATTTTTTCCCATCACCGGCTTCTATTTCATCACCACTCTCTGTTTCTGTTTTTTAAGGCCAGAAGGTCCAATGTATCAGATGTTCAGAAGTCAGTTCCTGGCTTTCTCCATCTATCAGAGTGAGTATAATCTATTAACTGCTCTCTGTGGGTTTTTATGTGTCTTTTGTTTGTTGTTAGAATGTTTAATGTTGATGGTTTATGTTTCTCTGGCAGGTTGTGTGCAGTTTCTTCAGTATTATTATCAGAGCGGCTGCTTGTATCGGTTACGGGCTCTGGGGGAAAGAAACCAGCTGGACCTGACTGTGGGTAAGAATTGTGACTGATTTGAATCCTGGGAGAAATGTTGATCTGGATAATGTCATCGTTTCACGCTGCAGCTGTTAGATGCTGCAGACCCCAGACTGACCTCTCATGTTACTCTTACAGAGGGCTTTCAGTCGTGGATGTGGAGAGGGCTTACATTCCTCCTTCCGTTTCTATTCTTTGGCCATGTGAGTACCAGCATTTAACTGTTGCCTGTATCTTTTTTTTTTTTTTTCATGTTGATTCTCATGCAACCTTTAAAGGTAATGCAATCTTAAAAAGTTTGTCTATGAAAATTGTCATGCATTTGACAGCGTAACATCTATGTAGTTCATATAACTGTGTGTACTGTGTGTATTTTTATTTTTTTTTGTTGAAAGAAATTAAGACTTCTATTTGGCAAAGACACATTAAATGGATCAAAAGGGACAGTGGAGACATTTATAATGATACAAAAGATTAAAAAATATATATTTTTAATTCATCAAAGAATCCTGACAAAATCTATCACGGTTTCCACAAAACTATGAAGCAGCACAACTGTTTGCAACATAATAAGAAATGTTTCTT